TTTGCTCGTTCCTCCAGGCAGCCTTGTTATCTGGAGTAGATTGCAAGAACTCATTCCCGTGTAATGAGGTTGCTTTATATGTTTATCTCATCTCTGTATCTACCTAGAGCCTCTTTTGTCAGGGTCTATAAAAACAAATCCTAAAGTTAATTTGGAGCGGGCAATCCGGAGGGATCCATTATCTGATCTCCCTATAGAAAGCGAGATCCCGCTATCTGAGGGCATTAAAGAAAGAGCTGAGCAGAAAAGCGCCTTTAGCAACTTGAATTCCGCGTGTATCCACCGTCCTGAGGGAGAAACAGCTCTTGACACCGAGGGCGATTTCGCGCTAGTGAAACGGCCTCCCCCGACTAAAGATCTCGGAGCGCGGGCGCTGCTATGGTCTACGTGCACCCGCCTAGAATCACCGCTATTATTGCTGTTATTATTATTATTGTGACTATCTGGGGAGCGAGGAGGGTCACCTTTCTCCACCTGTCTGCCCTGCCGCTGCAGCCTCCTCCTCGGCCCCGAAAAGGATCGGGAAGGGGCTGGGCCGGGAGCATCGTGAGCATCCGCGCGGGAGGTACCCGGGCTGCGGCAGCGGGAGCCGAAACAAACCGGGTCAGGATGAACCCGCCTGCCTGGGAATTGTCTGCGTTCGGGAAAGCAGCCCTCACCCACTCCGCTTTTCGCAGGTTTTGTTGCACGTGCCTCTATAAATATAATATCCCAGCCCTCTTCCCTCGCTGGATATCTCACTTCAACAAAACACAAACCAGAACGAGGAAAAGCGATTTTCTTTTTTAAATGAAGACATTTATAAGTAACCCAATTTCGCCTCGTGGAAGTAAATTTCATGCTAGGATATATTTTGCACAACATGTAATCTTTCAGAGCCGGAAGACATTTAATTAAAGCCATATTCGGAGAAGTACAGCTTAAAAGCGGTCATACGACCACATACCTCATTCATATTCAGGATCCATCCGCGAATTCATATTGTTTTAATGTGGGACATCGCTTTTACGGCACAACTCTGCAAGGCCTGAGCAGCAGGAGAGATAACAGCACAAAAGAGAGCAGGAAAGGAGCAGTGCACGGTGCTGAAACACACCGTGGGGTGGGTGGCTGCTTAACCCAAACTCAGCCGCTTTCTGGCGCCCAATTCCTAATTTCCGACCCCGGGAATTCCCAGCAATGCGCACGCCGTAGCGGAGGGCTGGGAGGAGAGGGCAAAGTCCGCTCGAGGATGGGCCCCAGTGGCATCCGCAGTCGGATGCTGCAACTTTGTCGCCCACTGCGCCGGGAAAAGTCCCCCCGTGGCGACGAGGTCTGGCCACGTCCTCCCCAGCGCCCCCGCAGAAGGTCAGGGCTTGTCAGCCCCTTCCCCAGCACGTGGGACGTGTCCCGAGGACGGCGGTGCCGGGCTCCCCCGCGGGACACGCTCCCTTTCGTTGCAGCGCCGAGAGCAGCCCGGCCCGGGCGCGTCCCGCACCCTCTTCCCTTCCCTCCCGCCAACAAGCGGGACCGAAGAGCCCCTCGCGGGGCGGCCGCTTCGCTCCGCAGGGGATTAGACTCCGCGAGCAGGACGTGCCAGGCTCCGCTTCTTTGGAGGGGCAGTTAAAAGTGTGAGCTGGTTGCGGCGAGCGCCCAGAAGGACAGGTGTTACTAACGCAGAAAAGCGCCGCTAACGCTCCGGCGAGGGGCGGGGGCCGCGCTGGGAGCGGGAGCCCTCGCCGGGCTCTCCCGACGCGGCTCCTTCCCCTCCCGGCACCGGGGGCCAACGCGGCGGCCGCGCGGGGCGCGCGGCAGGGCCCGCGGCGCGTGAAACGAGGCCGGGAGCGGGTTCGGCCCGCTTTATATGCGCGTTGTACACCTTTAGGTAAGATCACGGGAAAATGCTTCATAATTGGGCTCTATTTTTTATTTTTCTCCGTGCTCGGCTATGGTTCGTGGGTAAAATAAGTTTTCTATGACTTTATTTATTTATTTACTTTCCGGACAGCGATCTAAACTTGAAGCATTC